ATTGTATAGAAGCTTCTGTGTTTACTAACACTTTTACAGCCATCTCTCAATTTTTATTCAAGTACTCTCTATACATTAACATTTCAGGTCTCAAGACATTGAGATGAGTGTTCACTTCATTCTTGCCTGTACTTTATTCAGAAGCCTGCTTCTTCTTTGCATTCACAGAATTCAGAGAATCATCTAACACAGATATCTCTTTCACTTTGAAGACTTTTCATAGAATATCAGTGAGTGTCTTCAAGCTCACTGATTCTGCTAGTTTTTTGACTCTCTTACTTCTCTTGACTGTACACACTGAGTGCAATCTTTTGCATCATGATTTTAGCATTCACAGTTGAAGCAAGCTTGATACTTATAATACTAAGATTTTCACTCAGAAGATCTCTTTTTCAGAGAATTCAGCACTTTAATAATAGTATTCAGATCTAGATTCATCACATTCAGATGTATAGTTTATGTCATAGAAGTCTGATTATCTGTTCTTCACTGAGACATACTCAATTACAGTATTTTCTATCATAATTAACTCACTTGTTCCTGTACAATAAGAATATTATATGCTTTCTTCACTGTGCCTGACTGTGAGATTAAGTATTTTCATTTCACTCTTAACTCAGATGTAAGATCATGAATGAAGATCTGTAAATAGAAAGATGTTAAAAGCTCTTCATTTAATATGAGATAGTATAAACTGAAGTGTGTAAAGTATAATATAAGATTACTCACTTATCTATACTCAGTGAAGTGTTTATAACACTTATCTTATATATTCACTTTCTCAAAGTTATGCAAGATTCATTTAAAAAACTCATTTCATATTCATAGAAATGAATATCACTCTGAGTCTGTGAGATTTATCTTTTTATCAGTTATTCATAATGACTTTGCTTTTCTGTGTAGAAATACAGCAGATCTTAAGACTTATTGAAATTTCATTAACTGTCTGTCTGTGAGTTCACATTCAATTCAATAATATAATCATATCTGACTTAGTCAGCTGATTGCAGTATTATTTTTTCAGTTATCATTGAAGCTTGATAACTCTGACAGATCTTCTGACTTGATATATTTCATGCTTGAATTCTCATTCTGCACAGCAGTCTCTGATGATGTGTATGCTTCTGAAGAGATTGTGAATGATTATGATAAGATCTTCAGATTCAGTGTAGTTACATATCTGTATAAACATTTAATCTTCTGCTGCAGGCCTAAGATCTGGTTTTCTCTATTCTTATTGATGATGATAATTGCATTGATGAAGCTCTTCATAGTGAATACTTGATCTGCAGTGAATATCAATTATTGTTTGACTTTCATCTCAGCCTGTCACTGTGTATACAAGGCCTTGATCTCATTTAGAATCCTCATACATATACAGAGCTTTGATTTCAGTTCAGTGATTTCAGCTGCTTTTCTTACTGCTTTGAGTAAACTCTCTGAGAGGTTCTGCATATCTTTCAGTTCAGATAGCAGAGAAGGATGTTGTTTGTATTAGCTAGAAGAGATATTCATTTCAGTGGTTTTCTCATTGATCTTACAATGTCTATTATTATATCACTATATCACTGTATTATTATATCACTATATCACTGTATTATTATATCGCTATATCACTGTATCATTATATCGCTATATGATTTCTGTTATCATTGTACGACTCCGGTGGTGGCCACCCCTCTCTTTTATTCCTTTGAGTGAAGAGCAGTCTTCTTTGAATCTAGTTCACTGCTCCCATTCCTTTTTCTCACACCTCATCTATTTGCATACGTGGCATTCGCCTGGGCATGGAGTTTTTCCTCAACAAGTGAAGCAGCATCAATCAGATGCTCTTCTGCTCATCACTCTTTATACACTATCTTTTGAGATGTTCTAGGACCACACTGGCATGATAACTATAAATCACTTTGTAGATGGAATTATCACACTCTGGAGGAGCCTGCGCTTCTCACCAGTTTTTAGACATGCTATCAGATATGATTCAAAGGTTGCTTCAGTCAGTGTATGATTACAGGCGTACGCCGGCTTCTTATATATTGAATCTTGTACACTAAATTAATTAGTGGCTGCTAGGGCCCCCTTTACATTCGTACGCTAGTAGTTCGGAAGCGGCCGTGTTATTATCCAACGGTCATACGTTCTTCTGAACCACAACTGCAGTGATACTCACTAAAAATTCTTCATATCTATAAAAAACCTCAGTGAGGAAAAATCTCTTGTTACTATAAAGAGAAAAGAGTCTGTCACTCAGTTTCTTATTCTGCAAGGTTCTTTATAGTCTACAGATTCTTCTCTGACTATTATACAGATTCATCTCACATCTTTCATACAGAAGAGTTCTGATTGACTCTCAATCATTTTCATAAGATTCTTATGTAATTATTATATAGATTCATCTCACAGATGAATCACTCTCTGTAAGATCACTCTTATCAAAGAAAAGCATTTGTAAGTTAATCTTTCACTTATTCTTATAAATTATTGTTCTTTATCACTGTAGAATTGTGAGGAATTTTTCATTCTTTCATCAACTCTGTAGAATTGTAGAATCAAGATATCTGCAGTCTGCAATCACTCTTTATAGTCACATAGAAAGATTCAGATCTGTGATTTATAATCACTCTTATTTATTAGAGTGATCTGACTAGACTGACCGTGTGACCGTGTCTGAGATCAGAATCAAACTTTACAGTTATCATATTGTCTAAAAGTATTACTTCTGGTCATGATTTGTATTCATTACATTGATTTCAAATCCTGTTATTTTAAATATTAAAGATCTCAGATTCACTTTTCAAATATAAATCTAGTCTCAGATAAAGAATATGTTTGAATTCTTAGTCACATTTTCATTCTGATCTCATTATTGAAAATGATATTAAATGAGACTATGAAATCATTTCTTACTTACATAATATCATAATATAGTGCTCATTTGTTGAAAATTCAACAGAGAGTGTTATTAAATATTATTACTTTTCTGAACACAGATCATAATCAATATCATTTTAATTAAAAAAAAAAAAAATGTAAAATATAAAAAATAATAAAAAAACAAAAAACAAAACAACAAGAAAAAATCACAATAAAAAAAAAGAAAAGAGAAAGAAAAAAAGAAGAGAAAGAAAAAAAGAGATAGAAAGAGAAAGAAAAATAAAAAAAAAAGAAAAGAAAAAGAAAAAAACAAAAAAAAAAAAATAAAAAAAAATCAAGATCACAGAGTCACAGTACTCTCAAAATACTCACTCTTCAGAGTCTTTATAATATTCATTATTAACTGTATATCTCTTACAGTGAGAGTAACACAGTTATAATGAGTCATTATCTTAACATCATCTAACAAATAATCAGTATATATCTATATAAATGTGAATAATTAGAAAACATACACTTAAAAAGTGTGATCAGGGTGAACTCTGCTGTCACTTAAATAGTATCAAGAACAGAATACTGAAATCAATGATTTCTCTCATCAATTTCACAGAAAAGACATATGAAGATAATCTTAGAAAATATAAGATCTTCTGACTTCTGATAGAAATGAATCTCACAGAGAGACTCTATTTTCATTATATCAGAGACTGAGTGTTATTAAAAAGTGTTACTTCAATACACATGCACTTACTACAGTGATTCATTCTCTACATATATGACTGAGAGTTACAGCTTTCTCACACTGCACAGCTCTCTCTGAGATGCTGTTATCAGTTTGCAACTCACACAGTCTTTCAGTTCAGCATGCACTGTGTATATACAGCTCTGTGTACTGAGGCTGTATTGATTATTATAGTCTGACATGATACTTGCTTTTCACAGGCCATGTTTTATTTGATTGAGAGAGAGAGGAATGTGACTGCTGTTTTATTTAAAAGAAGATAAGTAATTGAATCTGTAGAAGATAATTTAATTTCTTCTGTATTTGAAATTTGATTAGTCTATACTCTTCAATTTGAGAATTTCTGAGAGTGTTTTAATAGTTTTCATATCAGCTTGAAATTAGTGATTGATTGAAGAAGATAAAAGAGAGAAGAAAGAAATAAGAATAACTTATCTTTATAATATGAAAACAGACAATTGCTGTAATTATTTATTCTAGTAACAAAGATCTGTTTTCTGCATGTATTTCTGATACAGATTATATAATAACTGTATATAAACAATATTAACAGTGTATGTATTAAATGAAGATGATATTACTATACAACACTGTAGCTGTTTCTGTACATTGCTGAAAGCTGTTAATATTTTCTTTGAGTCTCTTTATATTTGATAAGTCAGTAATATATTTCAATGCACTCTCTCTTTCATCATTATTATCATTATTATCATCATCATCATTATCACTATTATTATCATTATTACTATCATCATCATCATCATCATCACTATTATTATTATTATTATTATTATATTATTTCTGATCATCTCTTCTGTCTTCACCTCTCTTTAATACTAACTGAAATTAATCATGTCATCTCTCTTCAAATATTCTGCAGTTCTGCAGATCATCAAGGTGCATGAGTACTATCACAGATTGAAGAGAGAGAAGAAGAAGATGTTTAAGTAAGAGAAGACAGATTGTAAGACATGTTATAATGCCTTGAAGAGGCTCTGTAAGAAAGTAGAATGATAACAATTTTAAGTAACACTTCTGATAGATTTAGACTGAACTAAATATAGAAATAATACAGATGACATCATCTGTGAGAGATTGAAGAAGAAGATAGTGAAGAGTCTTATACAGTAGTAGTGAGATCAGAAGAAGTTCTGAGAATAATTTGAGATTAAGATAAAGAGAGAGAGAGAGAAAAAGAGTATTACTATAAATAAGTAACAGTAGAAGAAGATTGAGAGAATGTTAAAGTGAGAGATAAAGAAGTCAAAACTAATAAGTTTTTTATTTATTAAGAGATAATGATTTTTGATAACACTTCTGTTCTCTAATTAATTAGCAGGAGCTGATAGAGAAGAAGGAAATTAAGATCTTATTCAGATCTTGAATGCATTTCATAATTCAGAACATTGAGAAGACAGCTCTACTCTCTAAGCATATCAATCTGCTTACTGCTGAGATGGAACTTGAGACAGCAGATCAGAAAATGCAGGATTTTGAGATGCAGGTTAACCTGGCTGAGAGAAAGCAGCAGAAACCCTTCTCTGAGAAGGCAGTGAAGAGAGATTTTGAAATGATTATTATCTCAGATGAGAAGAAGATGAAGAAGAAGAAGAATAAGAAGTGAATTATGAAGAATGATAAGAAGAATGAGAAAGAGAAGAAAGATAATAAGTAGAAAAAGTTTTTTTCTTTTTATATTAGTTAGTTATAAGTTCATAATTATTAATAATTGAAATTAATTTTGAGTTTTTAAAAATTATTGTACAAGTTGTAATCAAGTCAGAAACAATATATATATATATATATATATTTAACTATCATGATTCACAAATCACTATAATGTATAAGTATCAACATTTTTTCAACATTGATATTCATAATATTAATATATTTTTAATGATATTATCTGATAATGTAATTTAGTAACACTCTCTTTCACAATATTAATATATTTCAAGAAATATGACAGAGATTAATCAAAATTGTTTATTTACTTTTTTATATATTAATGATATTCAATCTGAGTTAGTACTAAAATTATAACTAAGCTAAGAAACAAGATTATTTTCTCTTATATTAATTCTTCTTATACACATCAGTGATCAGTTATTAAAAATAAATTATTATCTTTCTTAAATTATTATCATGTCTTCTGAATTCACTTCTTTCACTTCTTTTACTTCTATTGAAGATTCATAAACTCTTCAAGAAATTACTGTGAATTATAAAGTCTATGTTATTTACAATTTAACACAGAATACTCTCTTTCAATTATGATGAATAATCACTTCATTCTTCATATCTGATTCCAGATCATGAAATTTATGAAAAACTCAACACAATCATTGAGATAAACTATGAAATAATTATTAACAGATTGTATTGTAGATTACTGAAGAGTTATCTCTCTACTGCAATTACTGCAACTTCATTCAGAAACATTTATCATAAACTGATCATAGCTCTGAAGAAATTTTCTGACATCTGAAGTCATCAGAATGCAGATAATAAAAGAAAAATAATCAGAAAATTACTACTGAGCTGATAAGTTACTCTATCAGATAATAATTTTTAATAATACTAACTTTCTAATTTAAAGAAAATTATGTGAAAATGAATCTGTATCAGTACTCTGATTTCATAACTCTTATCTGATAATTTCTGTGAATAATTACTTTGCATGTATATATCTCTGAATCTTTCTCTTCAATCAATTGAAAACTCTGAATTCTGAACACTTCTTCAAATGCTTAATTCAAATCTTCATATTTCACATTGATTCTATCTTCAGTTCAATCTTGAGATACACTACAAAGTTAATATACAATATCTAGAATCAGAGTTGAAGAATCATTGAAGAGTGTCACGCTCCCGGCCGCGCCAAGGCCCTGTTGCGGTTCCACACGGCCCATCGCTTCCATGCGGATGATTCCATCCCATTTGAACCGGTTTCCAATCACTCTATGACATCATTCGGATGTATCATAGGAAGATCCGATTGATGGATATGAGAACCTCGCTTTTATACAAGGTCAGCAGATTACTCTTCCTTGGCAATGAGGCGCTGCTGAGGTATTACTCCGGCTATTCTCACTCATGGAATGAGAGAAGGGTATCCACTCATTGTCTATATAGAATAGCTAGATGCTGGCTTCTCATCAAAGGAGTCAGTGATTCATTTTGCTGCTACTGGAATATACACAAGAGTTACTGCATGTCTCATACAATCTTCTTAGTATACTAAGTATCATATCTGTGATATCCTCGCAATAACTCTGTAGCCTACAAGCTCACTATTCAAGCAAGATAGTCAAGCTCACTCATACAGCTTCTTAAATAACTATCTCTACATGTCATCACTGACTAGTCACTGCTTCAGTTCTATCATGTTACAATTTGAATCACTTGATCTGATTACACATTTGAATCAGTTGAGCTCTAACAGACTGATATGATCTCATGCACCTGCACTGGGACTGACCTGACCCCACTCTCTGGAGAAAACACTACACTATTTCCTAGAGTGCATACACCTCTACCCTGGCAGAAATCTGAGATTTCTGAACCTGCTGTGCATTTTGACATGAGCTCTTCAACCACTCTGCCACCGCCGCGGCCTCTACACACCTACATCTATCATGAAGATAGAGAGATTAAGATTGAAGATTCACTGAGATACAAGAAAAACACCTTGTCTGAATTCCACAGCTTTACTCATACCCTTGAATGAAAATTCCACCTTAATCCAAGCCAGTATAATACTCACAAGATATAAGTAATATACACTGTCAACCTCCTTGAGAGCATCTCTGTGACTACTTGAGTTATCAAGAAGAGAAAGCTTGAGCATATCAATACTGCTGTGACTTGAGAAGAATTCAAGAACTTTCTACTAAATCAAATTGAAGATCACTGCAACTGTGACTTCACAGCAGCACAGCAGTTCAACTTATTACATTAACAAGATGATGAGAATTCTTCTGATTTTAATGCAAGATTTGAAGAATATTGAGAGGAATTAGCTGATGATTTGAATCAATTAAAAATGCAGCTTTATCTCACAAAGCTGACCTACAAGGTGTGAATAATGATATCATAATATCAGAGTTCATTAATCAATCACACTGAGCTTGTCAACCTGGCTTCTCAGATCTATTTGAATAATCAATTCTCTGAGAAAAAGGTCAATAAGATCTCTTCTAAGCAATTAACAATAGAATCTAAATGATGTCATGACAGCTTCAGTGTAGAGAAAGTAAAGAAGAATTTCAAGTGTTCTGATTCTTCACTCACTGTAAAGAAATGTTAAAAAAGATTTGACAAAGATCTCTGTTTCAACTGCAGAGCTGATAATCACTATGTCAGTGATTGCAAGAAGCTGAAGAAGAGAAGAAATCAAGAAGACATCTTCTTAAAGTTAACTCCTCTTCTGACAAACATATCTGTGGAAGATAAAGAAGAGAAAGAAAAGAATTGATAATTCTCATGTCTCTGAGTTCATGTTATGATCACAATGTATACTCTGAATGAAGAGATATCAGTGAGGTGTCTACTTGACTCTGAAGCAGATGTCAACTTCATATCCTATTTCTTTTCTTTGATGAAGAGTTGAAAGAAGATAGGCCTGTCAGATCATGTGAAATTTACAGATGAAATGAAATGTCATTATTTTGACATAATTCAAGTAAAGTGTGTGATCACAGACTCAGAAGAAACCTTCAAGAAGAGCAGTCTACTCCTTCACACAGTCAACATCATAGATGAGAACATCATTCTAGGTCTTCTGTGATTGAGAGAAAACAATCCTCTCATTGACTGAGTCACTCAGATGTGACAGTATCACCTCACTAATGAAGAGATGATGATAGAGGAATCTGAAGAGTTTTATCAGAAGAATCTTGAGAAAAAGATTGAGTCAATATACTGTGTAGCAGGTGATTGAAACTTGAAGATAGATGAAGAAGTCATCACTCTCACTGTAAGATTAGCAGCAGTATCTGTCATTGAAGGCGGATGTACATGACATCTCTTTATAGATTTTAAGAATGTCTTTTCAGAAAGAGAAGCAGTGAAGTTTCCTGACATTAAGATGTGATATAAGATTTGTCTTGAAGACAGTGTAACAGTGCTGTACAGATCTCTTTACAACTTATCTATAAAGAAGTTGAATGTTCTGTGCAAATATCTTGAAGAAGTGCAATCAAAGAACTGAATACATTCATCAAAGAGTCTGACAGAGGCATCTATACTCTTTGTGCTCAAGAAGAATGATAGACTATGTCTATGCATAGACTATAGAGGTCTCAATAAGATGACAGTTAAGAATTACTATTCATTATCATTAATTGATGAGATGATTGATTGATTATCTGAAGCAAAGATGTTCTCAAAGATTGATATATGAGATGTCTATCATAGAATCAGAGTTAATGAAGACAATGTTTGAAAAACAGCTTTTTATACTAAGTACAGCAATTTTGAATATCTTGTTTTACCTTTTGATCTTTGTAACACTTCAGTCATCTTTCATATCTATATAAATGAGACACTGTGAGGCCTTGTCAATGTCTTCTGCATAGTATACTTGGATGACATTCTAATCTTCTCAAAAATGAAGAAAGAACATGATACCCATGTTCAAGAAGTGATGAGTTGCTTGAGACAGTATCAACTCTATACAAACACTGAAAAATGCTCATTCTACATGCAGAAGATTAATTTCTTAGGTTATGTTATTAAGATGAATGACATTTCAATGAACAGGAGTTGAGTCTCTGTCATTGAGAACTGGCCAGCACTGCAGATGTACTGTGAGATGCAGATGTTTCTAGAATTTGTGAATTTCTACAGATGATTCATCTATACATATTCATGAATTACTGCCCTTCTTACAGATCTGTTGAAGAAAAGTGTGAAAGATAGAAAAACAGAACTGTTTACTCTCACTCAAGACACTGTGCAGGCATTTGCAGAATTGAAACAAGCTTTCACAGATATCATAATACTGAATCACTTTAACTCTGACTTACTCAGTCAGTGTGAGACTGATGTATCTAAGAATGAGATCTGTGAAATCTTTTCACAGTTGACACTGAAGACCTTTCAATGTTGAAAGAATCAGAGAATAATTATCTCTGAGAAAACAGGCAATGAATTGTCTGTGAGAGAAGACTTTTTCACAGAGTCTATAAGATGCTGTGAATGAAGATCAGTGATCTTCTTCTTCAAGAAGTTATCACTCATGCAGAGAAGGTATGATACTCATGATTAGAAGATGTTAGTAATTGTTGAATTCTTTAAGATCTGATAATATTATCTTCAGAGTAGTAAGTATTCAGTGCAAGTTCTCACTGATCATGCAAATCTGCATTACTTCTTAATAACAAAGAGCTTGACAGAATATTAAGTCAGGTGAGTGAAGCTGCTTTCAGAGTATGATTTCTATATTTAATATCATTCAGGTCGACTTAACTCTGCCAACACACTGTCTAGATGACCTGATTATAATATTATTAATACAGAGAAGAATTCTATAAAAGAATCTCTATCATCACTGCAGAAGAAGCTGACTGCAGAGGATTGAGATTCTCTAAAGCTCAGGAACAGCACTGAAGAGGCAGCTGCATGACTCAGTATAGAAGGTGAAAGAGAATTCAGGTCTCTGTGAGAAACTGACACTGAAGATCATGAGCTTCTCATGTCACATCTTACAATCATTGAATTAGCAAAGAATAAAACAGTCTACAATCTTTCAATCTGACTACTTTTGAAATTCATTGATGAGTTATAGAAGAAGAATGTCTCTACTGCAGCTTGAATTCAGAAGTTGAAGAAGAAAGAATTCAGTTTAAACTTGAAAGAGACAGACTCTGAGCAGAGCAGTGCTGCTAAGAAATCAAGTCACTGATAACTAGAAGAATGTGAACTTCTACTGCTGAATGATTCAGTCTTCATTCCTTGTAGTAGAACAGTGTGTCAGAAGTTATTGAGAATTCATCATAATAATTCTCATACAGGACACTTTGAGTTAGAGAAGACTGAGAAGCTTCTAAAATATAAATACACTTAAGACAAGCTCTGAACAGATATCAAAGAGTATATTGAGACTTACAATATCTGTTAAAGAATAAAGATCTCACAGTATAAGTAATATGATGAGTTGATATCACTGTCTGTTTCAAAGAGCTCATGACAGAATCTATTGATGAATTTCATAGTTGATCTGCTGAAGTCAACAAGAGTCAAAGAATATGACTCAATTTTGATCATTGTTGATCACTTCATAAAGATGACTAGATATATCTCTACTTATAAAAAGATTAAAGCCTCTGAATTGACTGACCTGTTTTTAGATATCATCATTCATGATCACAGTGCTCTGAAATCATTGATAACAGATCAAGAATCTCTCTTCATCAGTAAATACTGGTCAGCTTTTTACTATTATCTTATAATAAGACATCTTCTCAGTACTGCATTTCATTCACAGATCAATGACCAGACTGAATACTAGAATCAGACACTAGAACAGCATCTTCAAGCATTCTGTTTATATCATCAGAATGATTAGCTCAAACATCTTCTGACTGCTGAATTCATATATAACAATGCAAAGAATGCAATCTTAAAGATATCTTCTTTCTATACTTATTATGAATATAATTCTTCATTACTCAGTGACATCATAGACAATGTTTCAAAGAGAGAAATAGACAGTCAGAATGTCAGACAGATACAGAGAACAGAGTATCTCTCAGTATCAGAAGTAAAAGTGAGATTGAAACTTTTGAACAAAATTCATAAGAAGACAGTGAAAAGTATTCATCACACTTAGAAGTAGTAGATAAAATACTACAATTAAAAACATCTTCTGATGAAGTTCTTGATAGAGAATCAAGTGCTACTTTCAGTAAAGAATATCAAGACAATGAGATTATATAAGAAGCTCAGTGAGCAGTGACTAGAATCTTTCTCAGTAATAAGAGTGATAAGTAAGCAGGTATATAAGTTGAAATTACTCACAGAATTGAAATCAATTCATTCTGTTTTTTACATTTTCTATTTGAAGCTCTATAAGCAACACTCTGAGATAAAGCTGTCTCAGCTGAATAATATTGAGATCAAGAGTAATACTGAATATCTTGTGAAGAAAATATTGAATAAGTGAATACATTACAGCAAGCTTTAATATCTTGTCAAATGAGAAGAATATTCATTGTCAGAGAATTTATGAGAACTGCTTGAGCATTTGGAAAATTCTGAGAAAGAGATTGCAATCTATAAGATGACTAGTAGAGATCACTCTGTTACACATCAGAGATATTGAGTAAGAAACACTGCTTAAGACTTCTCATTTTTCTCAAAGAGTTTTTTAGAGATGATCTTGTGATGATGAGCTGATGTCTTATAGACTCTGTAGCACTCTTCTTCTATTTTCTCTCAAAGAATTTTTTAGAAGTTTAATGAGACTACACAAGTATAAAATTCCTGAAGCAGTTAAAAAGAAAAGAAAGAAATATTTGAAATTAATAAAAAGATTAATATTAATTAATCTGCAGACTGCTGCTAACCTAATGAGACTGCAGCTCATTAAAAAAGTAAAAAGAAAGAATCTCAGAGTCTACTCATCAATAATTACATCTTTATCAAACTTATTCTTCACTGTTGAAGTCTCTGACACTGATATCTTTATCTGCTGAGAAGTTAGCACTGCAGCACTGCAGAGAAGCATGCTGTAGAAGAGCATGAGAAATGCATGAAATATTAACTTATTAACTTACAAAGCATCTCAGTCATCTGCTTCAATTGAAGTGAGATTCTCTTCAATCAGTGATTGATCTTCACAGCACTTTCAGCAGCAGTGCTGACTGACTTCTTCTTAGAGTCAGTCATTCTGAGATGTTTTTTTATCTCAGAGACTCATGCTTTCATCTTCTTTTACAGATAAGCAAGAAGAATCTCTTCAGTCTTGATGAAATCTGTCAATGCTTGAAGCTCTGAGATTCTCACCCTGTACTGCTTGAGCATCTAGACTTCTTATCAGAACTGATATAATGTCTTTCTGTGAAGTAATACTTACAGAGAGACAGGAGTTATTGTTACAGATGCAATGAAAATAATGAGAGTGAGAGAAGAAATAGATACATAAAATCTCTCTCTTCTTCAGCTGCTTGACACAGTGCAGACAAGTAGCAGTGCCAGTCAGAGACTGCACTGAAGCCTTCTCACAGAGAGAAGATGAAGGAATCACAGGACTCTGCAGACTCAACTCAGCAGTATTCTGAGCAGGGCTCAGGCATGCTGTGAGAGGGGAACTATGAATTGAGCTTCTCAGAGCCACTGTCTCTGAAACCAAGCTCTCCCTGAGTTTCTCTCTGAATGATCACATGGAGTCATACATCACTGTATTAGCTGAGAGGGGGGGCGGCATCACAATGGTGGTGGGAGGGGTGAGGGATGAATTGAACACAGATAAACTGACTGACAGAAGAAATGACATCTCACTGCAAGGCATGATGACTATCACTGTGACTGTAAAAGAAGCAGGAGAAGAAGAAGATGTGATAATGAAAGCAGTGCTCTCATGGCTCATTGATGCTGTCATCTCCACCTTTAATCTGGCTTTCTTGACGGCCACGGAGGCCGCCACCACACCATGAAGACATTTATTACTCACTAGAAAATGTCAGAATAAGTCCTTGATTATTCTTCAAGAATGATACTCTCATACACTCACTGTTGTAATTGAGAGAGAGAAAAGAAAAATGTTTCACAGAGAGAGAGATCTTTTCAAAAAATTCTGTCACTACTGTTAGCTTTATCTCTAAAACACACCACTTTTGCAGGGAATTTCATATATAGAATGAAATATATTGAGAGATCTGCAAGTCACTTATTAACTATATTTTTCATATTTCAAATCAATATATAAGAAACTCACTTATCATATGTTTGATTTGAATAATGATGAGAAAAGAAAGATCTACACAGTCAGCAGAAAAACTCATTTATTTCTTTATATCATGCACAGTACATGCACTGTCAATCAGTTAATAACTGTTACTATACAACAAAGATAATTTCTAATCTGATAATCTTGAGAGTATAGAGACTATGCTTTTAAAGAAAAGAGTATTATCACACTTTCAGCTGTGCTAAGACTCTGTTGCAGTTTCACACAGCTTATCACTTTTATACAGATGATTTCATTCTATCTGAACCAGTTTTCAATCACTCTATGATATTATTCAAATGTATCATAGAAAGATCTGATTGATAAATATAAGAATCTCACTTTTATATAAGGTCAGCAGATTACTCTTTCTTGACAATGAGGCACTGCTGAGGTATCACTTCAGCTATTCTCACTTGTGAAATGAGAGAAGGATATTCACTTATTATCTATATAGAATAGCTAGATGCTGGCTTCTCATCAAAGAAGTCAGTGATTTGTTTTGCTGCTACTGAAATATATACAAGAGTTACTGTGTGTCTCATATAATCTTCTTAGTATACTAAGTATCATATCTGTGATATTCTCACAATAACCCTGTAGCCTACAAGCTCGCTATTTAAGCAAGATAGTCAAGCTCACTCATATGACTTCTCAAACAACTACTCCTACGTGTCGCCGCTGACTAGCCACCGCTTCGGTTCCGCCACGTTACAAAGAGTGTCTCTCACAGTGAATGCATGAACTAGTATAAACAATCTTGCATTTATAAGAGTTACATGTTATTACATTGATGAGAACTGAACTTATTAAGAGACATTAATTGAATTTGAATCATTGATCAGTAGTCATACTGAGAATTATATAACAGAGATATTAATGCCTGTGATTAAAAATGACTATTGAGATATTAGTTTCAGTCTTCTTATAATTACAATTAATAATGCTGTGAATAACTACACTATAGTGAAGAGCTTGAAGTAAAAATTAGCTTTGCATTTCTGAAATGATAAATATAATCATATTCTCTGTATTACTCATATGATTTAACTTGTAATACAAACACTGCTAAAGAATCTTAACATTGAGATAAAGAATAATGAGATAACTGATTCTTGAAATGAGAATGAGATGAAAGTGATTACTCAAGTAACTTTTACATTTACTTTATAAAAGATAATGTTTTTTGATAACACTTTTTAATATTGCTTTTTGATAACACTTTTTAATAATACTACTGTTAATTTTGAATAGATTGACTAATAATTTAAATGTCATAGATTTGAAACATTGCTAATGTGATTTGTATCTCTTCTAAATAATAATAACAATTTCATGATATTCAATAAATAAACAAATCAGTCACATCACTGAATATGATACAGAATATTAGAAGACAGTAAAGTTCAATATATAAGATGACTGTTCAGACTCTTCAATTATATCAGATAATTGATTATTGAGTACAACACTCTGATTAGAAAAAGATTCAGATATTGAAACTTTCTGATATGAAGTGAACTCAGTTGAAATATGTGATTGATTTACTGTTTCAGTTTTATAAGATAACAAAGACAGTCTCAATCACTTATACATTAATACTGCAGTCAGTCTGATGAGTGTATAACAGTTTATTTACTCATCTTGAGAAGCAGTTAAATCACTTAAAAAGAAATTCAGTCTGAGATGATGCTATAGTGCAGGCTATTATTACTATAAGAAATAAACTGACATATTACTACAGCAAAATAAAAACAATCTTTTACAGAGTACTATACTGTAGCAGCTCTACTAGATTTCTTCTATTAAGTTAATATCTACACTTCTCAAGATTGAACAGAGAAGAAATGAGACTTATATGTCAAATTAGTCTGAGACTACTACAATACTAACTATCAGAGATTTGAATAAGCAGATATTTAAGATGTGAAAATAGTGAAATACAATTCTCTAGTAAGTAATGATCTTTAATAACACTTCATATTATATAGAACTATAATACTAACTTTGAAACAGAACTTACATACATTGATTATAACTGAAAATCAGGTAAAACTACATGCTTGTAAAATTGAATTTGACTGCTATCTTCAAGATAATTCAATGAATTTACATATCAAATCAATTCTAGAGTTATGAAAAATTGTTGAGAGTATATATTCAACTGTTGCACTGATAATGTGTGATATTCTGACAATTTCATTGACAGAAGTGAGAATGAAGTGAAAGTTTAACTCAAGTTAAGATATTTATCACTATCACTGAGAACAATTATAAGGAGAAACAATCAAGAAACTCATGATTGTAAAATATAAAATTATCAGACAGTTTAATATCTCTGATCACAGTATATCAGAGAAGTGTAGTTTTTATGAGAAAGTGAAGAATAAACTTGTATAAGAATGTATTTAGTTATTTCATAAGCATTATCAATAATTGTTATCAAATTCTGATTATATAAGCAATCACTGAATGAACTGAATGAGACTGATTTTAATCTTCAGTCTCAGTTTTATTCTGATTTTGAAAGAATGATCATCTTTCACAGTTTATTCTGAAAAATTACTTTCATTTCACTGTTCTTGAATTAAATCTGATCATTTTTCACACTATTTCTCTCAGAAATGGTCCATTTTCAGATTTTTTTAAGGCTTGATTCTGGTGGGACTCACGCCAAGAAATGTATGAGATCAGACCAAATGAGATCAAATGTGAAATTCATGATCTCAGCGGTCAGTCTAGATCTGACTATTTTATGAAATTACTCACAGTGTAAGCAAAGCTCTCTAGAGTAGTATAAATATCTCAGATCTGTTCACAGAATCTCATCTTCTTTTTTCTTTTTCTGTAACAGCTCTTATTTTTATAAACTATGAGTATTCTCATTTATCTGTGAAGTGTTTTCACTCAGATAATAGAGAGAAAGTGTTTCTGATAATATCTGCATGTTGATTCAAGAACTTCTCAAGAATAAAAAATTTTTCAATTTTAATATCTTTATAAATTATGTCTGACTGCTGCTGAGCTTCTTGTGAGTGTTCTCATAACTTCTCTGATTACTTTTTATCAGCTGATGAAGCAGGGACACTGTCACTCATAATTACATCTTCATTCTCTTCAGCCCTGTCACTGCACCTGATCTTCAGACCAGTGACTCACTTCATGCCTTTCTCAGATCAGTCTCTGACTTCAAGCAGCATAGTTCTCTTCTTTACTGTAAGTCTTCTTATAAGTAATTTCTTACAGATTCTAGCTAATAGTTCTTATAAAGCTTCTGATGTTACTAGTATCTTCTGCAGCTCTGTGAGCCTATAATCATTCTCTTTCTGTCTGCACAATCTCTGACCAGGCATATATGAATATACCTAGATTCTCTATCAATGATTCTCACATCACAGCACATTTTCACAATCTCATTGTCAATGAGAGATGAGTTCTCAGATATCTGCAAAATTCAGGTAATCAAGGCAATGTAAATGTCATGAATTTGTGATAGAAGTTAATCTGAGCAGATGAGCTCTCTCTTCATATTTTAATTATTTTCAGACTGAATACTTCAGCACAACTGAGAAAGTGAACATAGCTTTATAAGAAGTATCTAATCACATGTGCAGATAATCAGTCTTCAAGATTCTGCTACAACTGCATGCACTCTGATGTCTGACTTCTCTGAAGTCTATGCATTTCTGACAGTCTTTGTATCAAATGTAACAATTATCTGTACTGCAGATATAATACTCTCTGCTTCTTTGAACAAGAAAATTAATAGTTATGAGAGAATTGAGTGTTACAGATAATAAGAATATAAGTTTGAGTTTTCTTTATTTTTTCTTTATTAATCTTCAAATTATGTTCACAGCTCTGTTTATTTTCTAGTTTTTTAACTTTAATAAGAATATGATTTCTTCTTCTCTTGTATACACTGCAGACTGTTCATTTCAGTAGAAACTCATCATCTTATAGACTAGAATTCATAAATAACAGTGTTAATGTCTTTGTCACAATTAGGTTCTTAGTGAAGATTATATTATTCTGACTTATCAGAATTTACAGTATAAAAGTTATATCTCAGCTTCTACAGATATCTTATCTACTCAGATAATTCTTAAGTGAACTTATTTATCTTATTAGAATACTCTTATCACTGAATCTTGAATCAGAGCTTATAATCTTACTTCTCTGAGTTAATAATTTCTTTAATCTGATATTCTCTTTTACTCTCTAGTACTTCACAGATAGAGTGATAAGTCATAAGATTCTCTTCTGAGAATTTCTTATATTCACAGAGTAAAGAGATATAAAAAACATTATATATCTATAACTCAGATAACAGTTTCAATCTGTAGAACTGTGAGCTAACTTTCTTTATAATCTTACAAGACTCTGTCTATAAGAGATTCAGCTTGTTGCTAGATCTCTGTATAATAATGTTTTCTAGACTTAGTTAGACTCTATTATCTTTCTTAAAACTCTTTGTAATATGCTTAAAGTCATAGTATCTCTTCTGATACTCTTGAGTCTTTCTTAAGAATTCACAGACTTTCTCTCAGATCTTCTGAATTCTCTCAGTCTATTCACAGATATCACTACACTCTATAGTATACTCTCATGAGTTTATCAAGATCATCTGTGAATAAGTCTCAGTGAGTATTTCAAAGAGAGTTTTATCTGTACTAATATATTTTAAGTTGTTGTATATACACTCTG